ACACCAAATTAGTAATTTTGGCATAACATTCAGTGATCATGAATTAATTTTATTGCTTATGTCCGTAGTCTCAAGCCTTTACAAAGGTTTGCTTAATGAGGGGCAAGTGAGAGGCCATGTTACAAAACTGAAGTGTTTTGTAGCACAGTAGCAACTGAGGCCAAGAAGAGAAAAACCCATCTTCTGGCTCACTTGCTTACACCTCCTTAAAACATCAACCTTGAGGACCAAAGTGTCCCTGCCTTGGGCTGTGGCTGTGAAAAACACAGGGATGGGAGGGAGAGGGGAGAGGAAGAGGGGATAAGACGGGACAAATAATTTTCTGTAAGCTCTTCTGCAAGACAAGTGCTCTTTACAACAGTTCCAAAGCAGCGATGGTTTCCTCTCTCCATTGGGAAAGAGACTGGAACTATTCACAACCTAGGAAGCCATATGTGTCAAAGCATCTGTGGTGCTCTGACCAACATAGACTTTGCAGAGAGGGACTGTGGGCTCAAAAATGCCTGCTGAGATCTGAAGCACTGCTCTAGTTCCAGGTGTCATGTGCCTTCAGTAACTGGTAGGCTTATTCAGCCTGCAGGTCAGAAATTCAGCACAAGTTCATTCTCTCTCCTGGCTCTTCTGAAGAGACAGGAGGGACACCTCCCTGCTGCTGTGGGTACAAGCAGCCCCCTCTCCCATTCTTTCCAAGCACAACCAGTTGCAGTACCCCTTGGGGAAAACAGTGAAACAAAGGGAAGAGTAGGGGGCATTGGGGCAGATGAGACTATTGAGAACAACTCAAGCACAAGAATAGGAATCCCATCATAGCTCTAAGCAACTGGGAGTCTCAGCCTGTCCACAGGTTATTCTTACATGCTACAGAATATAAAGTTGTGTTAGAGGCCCCCAGCTCCTGGCTGTTCTGCATTTAAAAGCATCAGCCCTGCAGGTATTGTTACAAAACTCCATGCTTATTTGTGAGAACTGCAAATGAAATAACACCTGATTTTGTTTATTTTTATTTTTTCTCTTACTGCAGGAGAGGAAATGAGCCAGCATCTTTTGCCCCACCCCGTAGATCTGGAGGCAGAAGAGTAATTGAGAATGCAACAGAAGGAGGTGATGAAGAAATGGATGCAAGAGATGGAGATTTCAATGGAAAAGCCAGTGAATAAGCACGCTTAAAAACTGCACTGCAGCAAGGGGAGGGAGGATGATATTTAGCACTGTATAAGTCTACTCTTTGTGTCAAGGTCACATACACCCACTCCTCTGACAATGATAAAAGCACAACTACCTTGTCTCCAATGTATAGACTGACTTTAAAAGTACTCCAAAACTTATTTTACTATGAAGTGTATTTGAAAAGGTGGGGCGTTTTTTTTAACACTCAGAGTAATTCACTTTGAGAATCTTCCAGAAAGTGAGCTCTAGTAGCTCAGATGATTTAAATCTCAGTGAACTATAGTTTACACAGGATTTGTGAGACTGTTGCAGGAAAAAAAACAAAAAGGCATTGGTCAGTTAATCTTTTCTTAAACTTTCATTTTGTCTTGAGTATTCGATTAATTTAGTTTATTCCTGGTTACTACACCCCCAATGCACCATTCACAAGGTGGAAGTGCCTTTTTAATCACTGACTGAAAAAAAAATATCATTTGTTCAAATTTAAGTCAGCTGTTACAGTTTTATATGCACCATGGATGTGCTTACACACTAATAAAAGACTATAAAATACTCCAGTATTCCTATGTCACTTGGTGTCTGTGTACAGGCGTCACTTGGGTGTAACAGCATACTCTAAGGAGATGGGGGATCAGGAGAGCTTCTTTACAACTCAAATACTTTTTGGAAAAGGCCGTCTGCAATCATTAGAACAAAACCTGATTTTCTCATAAGCAATTATTTTGAAGGAATGAAAGACAGGTACATTGAGCCAAATGTAAAATGACATTAAGTACTTGGGACAGGTTTGATTATCTCATGGACACATGGTACTGAGCTGCCTTCAAATGTATCCAAGAGGTGAAAGACATGACACAGGACCTCCAGGAGACTCACAGCATTATAATGCAGCAGGTGGAAAGCAGGCAGGGCCCTAAGTGTGTGTCATTAGGCAACTGAGCCCCCCCTTGCAGTCTGATTTAGGGACATTTCGTAAGGATATTCCAGACTAAAGTGGGCTGAAAACCATTAAACCAGCAGCCCACACTGAAGGCAGCAATCCAAGCCAAGCTATTCTGCATTCAGAAATAAGCATGTGGTTACTTCATACTTTTTGAGCACTACAACAGGACTCTCCTCGGAACTACAAGGACCTACCATAAACACATGGAGCTCTAGTACTTTCAGATAGCATCTAGCTTGGTGGCCACACTGGGGCAGCAGAGAGCCACGCACAGAAAAGCCAGGTGTAGAATTACTTTAAATGGAGTTCAGAGAGCTCATTTGTCTAGGATTGTACAGCAAGTAAACCTTAAGCAGTGTGACTACACAGAGAGCAAGTAATGCAAAAACATCCACCTTGGTAGCTAATTCAATCACCTTCTAAATCTAATCATTGTTCCAGAAGGCTCAGGGATCACGAACTGGAGATTGCAATAAGGTATCATTTATCCAACAGAAACACAGCCCCAAAAAATTATCTCTGATCATGGAAGAATAAAGGAAGAGGTTAAATAAGAATCCACTTAGAGCATTTTAGATTACATGATACAGAGGAGGGGCGGTAGGATCCTTGCTTGATCAGCCATGCAGCCCAGCTCTGTAAACATGCTCAAGAGCTGGCTGTTAAGCACATAGCTTGTGAGCCTGCATGTGTAGAAACAAGGAGATCAAGGAACTCAGACTTGATAAGGAATGGTTCTAAGCACCAATGCTTGGAGCTGAACCAATAAACTGAACAGAGAGCCCTTCTAAAAAGAATTCACCTAACAGTAGACATTGGTCTGATGGTTACAGCACTGCCCTTTCACTTGAGAAACTCAGGTTCGTCCCTGTTCTGCAAAGCTTGTGTCAAAATAGCAGTCAGAGCTTCTTTAGTAACACCATAGAAAACACTCTTCTGCAACAGTGGCTGAACTGAAGTTCCCAAAAAATGTTCCTTTGTATCATTACAGAGGTGACTGTTCTGGATGATGTTATTTTGACAATTCTCAATATCATATCCACCCCACAGTCTGTCTGATTATATCTGCAGTCACATTAATAATATCTATGTAAAATTTGTAACACTAACATAGCCACAATTTTCCAGCTTTCTAGCTTAATGTCAATGCTGTGTCTCCAACCTGACTGCAAGCCAACTTGCTCACCAAGCAGGCAAATTCTGCAAAATAAGGAAAATGCAACTTGTCTTGACTGATCCTTCCAGGCTACACAGTCCACTGAAGCATAGTCCACGTGTCAGCATAACTAACAAAGTAGCCACACACTTCTTGCTCCTCATGGGTAAGTAAAGAGTGTCAACTCCCTGTGTGAGACAGAAGGACAAAAATCACGTTAAAACAACCAGAGTTCAAGATTTTGAGAGAGCAATGCCAATACTAAGCATTGTAAATCCCAGAGGCATCTTTAGCTATGGCAATATTCACATTCCTTAGAGTAGGAAAGCATGAGATGTAGGAAAATCTTTGCACATGATTCAGCAAAACAATGTCTCTTTGAGCTTCATGATAAGAAACAGATGAAAAACTGGCAGCAAACATCTGTGTGTAAACCACAGTGAAAACTTGCAAGAAAAACTTAAAATGAATCAACAACTAGCATTAAAAATAAGCTTTATTCTGCTCCTCAGTTAAGCCAACTTTGTAGATGTCCTGAATAATGGGAATGAGCTGTGGCTACTTCCTATTCCAGAGAAACAGATGCATCAGTGGCTGTTGTCATTTTCTTAATACAAAAACAACCCCAAAAAACAAAACAAATAACCAAAACCCATTTATGAAATATTTTTGCCAATTAAGGTCTCCCCACCCCTGCAAAAACCATAAAAGTTGCTTAGTCATGACCATTTTTGCAAGTACAGGATTCTACAAGGTACATTAATACTGTTGAGGGAACCTCTCCATTTAAAACAACATACAGGGGGGAAAAAAAGATTTTAAAATCATTCTCTACTCATATATACTTGTCTAGCATAAGAGACTTTTCAGGTTAAAAAAGCATTTCTAAATTAATAACAGCTGAAATCATATCCTCATAAAAAGTGAAAATCACTAATACCCAAGGCACATTAATGAAGGGAGGTCTGGAAAGCAGTCAATCCCACATAATAAGATGTTAGAACAAGGAACTTAATCAGATCTCTTGCCTTCTACAGCAGCCAGGTTTTACAGACCACAAAATGGGAAAAAAAAAAGAGTTGATATGCTAAGCCAGTCCAAAGTCTCCTACCTTGCTGTTAGCTCTGGGATCTCCTGAACTCTTAGGCACTAGGTATTCCTCACCTTTAACCATGACCTGTTCTAAATGGTAAATGACTGCTTATTTTTGCCTACAGTGGCAGGTTTTAGTGTAGCAAGTTTCTGACCAGCAAACATCCCACAAAGAGCTGAGCAGCTTCCCCACAGAGATACATCTTTCTCCACATAAAAATACTCCTTTAATTTCAGTGACTGCAGCACACAACACCCGTGACAGAAAGCCAGCACAACCAGAATTGAAGCCAGAACACCATGGTACTGTATTAACACCAAACGCCAAAGCCTGAGTAGCTGCATAGGGAACACAGTCTCTGTTGTAGGAAGACAATGACTTTGACTGGCAGTGTCAAAAAAACCAACATTCAAGGAGCAACTGATGTAGGAAGCAATTCCAACTCCTGCACTGCTGGGCAGCATTACTTTAGCACACTAACTCTGCCAAGAGCCCAGGCTGGGTCAGGCTACAGGAGGCCATTGCCAGTTGCAGCTTCTTGTCTGGTTCTCTTCTACACCTAGACTGCTGCCCAATTGCTCATTGATATTCTCTTTAGAACTGCAGTTTATTTTTTCCTTCTCCAAAGCCAGCCAGGCTTTTCATAGTAGCATCTTGACAACACTTTGTGAGGGGTGGCTCATTGCTCCTGGAATATTTGAAGGGCATGTTCCAAACTCCAGACGTTTTGCTAACCTGCAAATACAAAAAAGCAGTTAGTGCACTTCTTGCCTGGTCTTACCATCTTCAGAATAACTGGTCAGTTCCAGAAAACACCATTCAGCTTGAGAAATCTCTAGATAACAGAATATCACTCTGAGCACTAAGTGAGCCTGCTACTTAACTGGGTTGAACTTCCACAGCGACACAGGGCTCTGTTTCCCTCTGACTGGTGAGAAGCTATCTTTTACAGGTGTTAGAATGTCAGTTCTAGCATGACAGTGGTAGATGTATAATCAGCTACACAAATATGTAAATATACAGTCCTTGAGGCTTTCTTGTAGGAACCTTCATGAGGTTTCATGCCCAGATGGGATAACAAGTGCAATGTGGAGCAGTCCTTCCACACACCAACTCTGGGCACTGGGTAACAAGACAAACCAGTATTCCCAGCACAAGGGTCTAACTGAATAATTAAGTCTGGAACAAACTGTACAATAGGCACTTAATTTACAGAGAATCTAAAGAATGTGCAGTACAGGATCACATGGTATAAGCAGACATGAAATTGCAATTTGTTATATAACCTTGCTGATTTTTCTTTGTTTAAAAAAAGACAACCAGTTCAAAACAAATTTACAAGCTGAGTCAGGTAACTTCCTGCAGGCTGCTCCGTGGAAACACACCTTAGCAACCATAAAGCATTCTGATTGAGTGAAAACAATCTGCCTTTTTCCCAGTTCTCTCATAAATGAGAATATTAACTGTGATAATCCTCTACATGCCATAATGATACCAAAATATAACTTGTACAAGAACATAAAGCATAAAACAAATTGAGCCAATAAGCAAGAGCTCCTCTGTTGTATTTTATCCCCACTTAAAACACTGGGTTTATAACAAAATGTCTAGTATATTTTCTTTGAATTTGTGGTTTTCAAAACTTGATTCCAGGTAGTCTTCAAATTTCAGCAGCAACTGACTTGAAACATTTAAATCACAATCAAGAATACCTACATTTCCTGTATTTTGAAAACAAATCTGCCTCTAGCTAAACAAAGATTTAATACAAAACAGAACAATACCCGTAACTAAGTTTTAACACCAACAGTTAGTCCTAAGACACAACAGCAGAGAACAGCACTCACCCTGTATCACACAAAGGTTGATGAGGACTCAGGCGTGTTTCAAGGACATCTCTGTTCATGTACATGGACACCGTGGGTCTGTTTGGAGACTGGTCATACACAAAGTTTCGGCAAGATGCAAGTTTGGACTCCAAAGCCTAATGTGAACACAGATGAGAAGTGTCAGATGTCACACTTCTGTTTCACAAGATGGCATTGTGGCACTCCAAAATAGCATTAAGAATGTTTGGAGGATTTTTTGTTTCTTGTGGAATGAGTCGTCTAGTAGAGGAATCTGCTAGACCTTAGTGCCACATGAGTGGCATTTTTCAAGAGATGAAGCCAGTCACCTCTCTACAGCTGAATCTCTGCTTCAGTAGGGGAGGTTAAGGAGTTGATGCTGTTCGCCATCAGGAACACAAAATCTTTAGTTTCATCAGGAACACACTCTTCAGCTTCCTCAAGGAAACTAACATCTTTCTTACAGGCATCACTTTTTAGATTACTAGCTGTTCATTTGAGCTATCTGCTTCCCTAGACACATACCCAGTTCTATGTACTAGGTGGCAGACCTGAGGGAACTGAGCCACATAGACCCTATTGCCTACCATGTGCTCCCATCCTAAATCACCTTTGTTGCTGGGCTACTCCTCAGCTGGATCAGTTCTGCAGTGCAGCCCATCCAAAAGTCATACAAATGTCCTTGTGCCAAAACAGCTCTGGGACATGAAGCATGACATTAGGCCTTACTCAAGACTACTCAACTCTTAAGGAAAACGTCACCAGAAGCACTCTGGACAGCAGGCAGCTTGCTTTCTTCTCTGCCTTTCATGGGAGCAGATCCCTTCCTGATTTCCTCATGTTGATTTATTCTTTCTGCACATAAACTTTCAGAAATTTGTAGAGCAAAATCTTTTCTCCATGTGGGTAACACCGTGGAAATGCACAGCAAGTTCCATCTTTATTTGGGGGTTGGTCAGAAACAAAGTCTAGACCAAATTTCAAGGCCATGCTTAGCTAACCTGGGGACAGGATATCCTTTCCAGTCTCTCCTAACCAGCAGCACATACAGTGCTGGCTGCAGTTTCAGATAGCTGTCTTTCCAAGAGCATTGGTTAGCAGATAATCACTCACCCCTACTTTTCGCAGCAAGTCTCCCACAATGTTAAGTGCAGATATTCTTGCAGCAGGTGTGAGAGGTGTTGCACCATAACTGTCCTCAAGACCTGAAGGGCAGATTAAAGAAGGATACATTACTCATTTAAAAAAAAACACACACCAAAACCAATACTTGGACACTGAAAGTCAGAAGATAGCCTAACACAGAGAGCAGAGAAAGCATCAATATCTTCACCTTTTTGCATCTCACCTCTGTATCTTTCATATCCATTAGGAATATAAAGTACTGAGATAGCTCAAGTTACACTGTCCTAAGCAAAAGTGTCTAGACATGCTGTGGCTTGGGTCTCTGGAGATCTGCTCTAACATCCTACTCTGCATCTCTGTTGCTGCTGTGGAACCAGAGCTAAGGTGACTTGTCAGTATCCTTCTGTTCCAGAGTAAAAAGAAAGTCTCTCTCAAAGAACACCTGCTTTCACAAAAAAGGCAATTAAACTAACATGAGTGTGATATATTAAAGATGACACTTAAGTTTTTTAAACCCTTCTGCCCACAATATCTCTGGGACAGTTGTGAACTAGTAGTGAAGTCCTAACATCTCATCTTGTCCCCCACAATTATTATTACTTGACATTTCAAGTGAAATAGAAATTAACAGCATATGAATAAACCCCCCAAAATCGCAGTCTATGAGTATTGAGACTGGTGATTTGATTTCTGTTTATTTAACTTAATCACTCAACTCTGCTCCCTTCTTCTCATTCCTCCTTTAGCCAGAAACCACAGTAAAAACAAGAGCATCGAACAGCATTTCTGTGCTGGTTCCCTGTCAGTCACCTCTCCTAAAAGTTGCAGGGGTGGGTATATGGATGTTGGGTGCCCTGTGCACAGAGGGAGTTGAAGGCACAGATAAGGATGCTTGGACTGCAGTGTCTGTTCTTTCGGTCTCCAGGGTAGTTCGCATTGGTGTTTTGGGTTTCTCCTGTTTCTGCTGCACTGCAAGCTCTTGTCGTAGATCTACAAAGTAAATAACACATAACAAGGTTTTGAAGTACGTATCCACCAAGATGAAAACAGCTGAGAAAGTTTATTTTGCTCAAAGGATAACTCCCCTTGTGGAGGTGGAGTAAAGTTACTTATTCTTGTAAAAAATACTGCAGGCATATGTTCAAAATCTGGACAGTCACTAAAGACTTTTCTAGTACTGTGGCTGGATGTTTTTGCAGGCTTATTTCAGTTGTTATTATCTGGCTTCAATTTTCATACCCTTTCATAAGGCTCCCTTTGGGGCAGGGAATTAATTCCTTTCCAAAAGTTACAGGCTGTTAAGCAGAGACTTATCAAGACTAAGGCAACTAGGCACACCTTGGCTACATTCTATCTCCATGCCAGGTTGAGATCCTACCTATTGTACTCTATTCTCTTCCACACTGGTTTCCACATGAAGAAAACCTGAGCTGAGGGCAGCTAGAAGCCAAGGGATAGAGAACTTCTGTCCCATAGCCTGGCTGTAACTTATGGAAACCACTCAAAGACAGAAACCAAGCAGATCTGAAAACAGGTGTTTTTCCATGGTCTCTTTTCTCACTCAGCCTTATTGACAGGTATCAAGAAGATAGCACATGAAGCTACTCAAAGGTAATTAGAAGTCAGTCACAGCCATCCTGTTTTACTGCCCCTTAGTGTTTCATTGCCTTCAGTTTTTGCAGGCCAGGAAACAAGGTTAATGGCTATTAAAGCTGATTTTCATGGGTTACAGAAAGCCAGACCAGCACATGAAGCAGCTGGACCCTGAAACATCACCACAGATTAGGAGAAGGCTGTAACAGACTTGTTTCTGTGAGCTGCTCTGAAACAAGGACAGAAGTTCAAGAAGGGGAGAAGCCTTGAAGTGTCCTCATTTGCTTCCACATTTCAGATAGCAGATTTAAAGGATGTAAACTAAAAGGCCAAGCTCTAAGATATATGGAGAGGACTGAATAGCTGCAAGCCAGGAGGAAAGAAAGGAAAAGACAAACAATTTCTGTCTAACCTCTAGCTTCATCTTTCAGGCGCTGCACAGACTCTAGAAGGTTTTCCTTCTCATCCAGTTCACTCTCCAGAAAAGCGTTTCTTTCAATAGCCTGGTTTAAACGCTGCTCAAAATCTTCCAGAGACATGATAGTGGCTCTGAAAAAGAGTGTACAAGATGTTATAACAGATCCTTCAAGCACAGAGAGGAACTCCCTCTTCTCACATGAAAGGAAGAATGTTTTTTTGCTTGGGTTGCTTTGTACTATTATTATTTTAGCTTGTAAAATATGCAAGAGTGCAGTGGGGGGAGTGGAAGGGAAAAAAATTATCGCATTTCCCATCTGCTACAAACCTCTTCACAGCAGTCTTTACCTAAGCGATCAGTGCAGAATGTGAATGAGAAGAGCATCACAAACAGCTCACTGACACCATGCTCACAGGACAGAAGTGGAAAAAGAAAACAAGATGGGTCACCTTTTTGCTCTTTCCAAGTCATCATTTGCTTGCTCAAGTTCTCGAATGTATTTCTGAAGTTGATCTTTAATAGCTTTTGTCTGTGCCAAGTCATCTTCCAGCGCAGAGATTTGCCTGTATCCTTCTGAATGCTGTATTTCTAGCTTTTCCTAACCAAAGGCAAATAAAACAGCTTATCAGAGACTCAGGAATGCACATTCTCTTTCTGTGGCACTGTCTGAGCGCCTTTTAAAGGCAGATTCTGTGACACTTTCTGAGAAACATCACCTTACATATGGTAAAATGCCAACAAAGCCAATTGCTCACATACTTCTGGGCTGCCAGCAGACAAGAGCTCTTCCTGTCACTCCTTATCAAACAATGGTGCAGGGGAGCAATTCCTGACCTCCACAGCACAAGGCTGTTCCTTGCTCTCCCAGACAGCAAGACTCAGCAAAATTTCTGAGTCATAGCAACCCACAAAGTGGAATGCAAGAGAAACCACTTATTTTTAGCTCTAATAAAAAGTCAAGTAATACTTAGATATATTTTTTCTTTTTTTTTCATGCTCCTAACTCTGACACTATTACAAACTGCTGTGTAACTACCAGGATTCTCCACTGCCCCTGTGGTTTTATTAGTATAAAGCAGGTTCAGAGTCCTAGATGACAAGACATTTCAGGTGCAGCTACACAACATGCTTTGGATGTGAACCTAAAACAAACTCTTCAGAGAATGTCCCTTTATAGCACGTACACAAAGATACACCTAGGACAGGCACAGGCAAGGAGGAAGGCTTAGCTTCTCCATCAAATATAAATCTTTCTCCTGCTACTGTGGCTATATGTGGAGTTAGCTCCACATCACGTGACATGGAAAGCTTCACAGCACACCGGCTACTGCAACACTTGACACTCCACCACCTCACTATCAGGTCACTTCAACACGCCAGGAATTTTTTTTTAAACTCCAAGATTGCTGTATAAGAAGCATTCCTGGGTGGAGAAAACACTTCAGAATTTAAGTACAACACACTGGAAGTCACTGAATACAAATAGATGCATTAGAATTTGAAGACTACAGCATGCAGTCTAACATGACTGATAAATTTGGAGACAGCTATTTTAGCACATGAAATGCAGACAAGGATGAGGAAGAGAGATACCCATTCTGAATTAATGAACTCTTATTTGATTACAGTATGGTGACTCTGCTAAAATTCCAGATCTCTGAAGCACAGAAGAGTCCTCAGGCTCTAAGAGGCAGATTACTTTCAACTAGCTTTTCAGGACTCTCTAAACACAAACCCTCCAAAGTATTAGTTCCATTTATTTTTGGGTAGTGTGAACTCTGGTTTCTGTATGGGAAGCAAGCACACATACAAGGCTGGGAAGCTCAAAGCCACAAGCTGTGTGGGCCTGGCAAGGTTCACTAGTGTTGACCTAAATGCAGACACCAGCCCTTGATGGGCTCAGTTAACAGTGTTGCTCAATAGCTTCACAAGTTTAATGCTTTGCTCTTGAATTAATTCAGATAAAAGACCAGAACTACAAGGTTTGAGTCTTTCTTTTTAGCCGATTGTAATAAACTATCAGCTGATCTGGCCATCAATGGAGTCTCTGTTTCTTCACTGCAAGCTGTTACTGCAGTTTTCAGGCTACATGAATAGCCAATTGTTAGAAGGTTTGTTTCAAGCACAATATGTTTTGATAAAGTTATCTACTATGAAGAATAGTTTGAGATTTCCTAAAATATGTTTACCCTCCACTTTGAGGTTCTACATCTCCTACTATTTTCATTCTTAACTGCTTTGGCTGGTTCATTGACTCCTTCTCTTACCCTAGCTCCTCTAGAGAAAGAATATAGTCCACACCACCCTCAATTAAATCAACTGCAGTTCATTTTTTTGGTCAGACTTGTACCTTTCTCCCCAAAACAATCAGCTTCCATGGGTTTATGTGGCTGCATGGAACAATGTCGACCAATACTTCATAGGACACACAGAACATTTAATACTGCTAAGGTGCTATTAATGAACAAAGATCAGTGCAACCTAACAAATACAACGAAACAAGCCTTGGAATGCTATCAAAAAGCCAAGCAGGGGAGGAAATCATTACATTGCGGCTAAAAGACAGGACATCTGCCTGGAAGAGTACTTCCTTAACACAGTAATCTGGACAACATCTTGGACAAAAAGCGTTGCAAAACTGGATTACTCTGGTGATTAATCACTTTAGGAATACCTTCACTCCCATTAGCTAATTATTTCATCCAACTGAGTAGAAGTGTAATTAAGTTAATCTCTACTTCCACAGATACTGATTTAGCCCTACAAAACAGTGTAGTGTTTCTTGGGTGACCACACCTCACCTTTAAGTAAAAGCCCAACAAGACCAAACTTTGAAAACGCACATCAATTTCAGTTAAAATTTTTTCTTCAATTTTAAGAAAATGTATCATTATTTCCTGTGCTGTCCTAGGCAGCACAGGGGCCTAGGAGCATATTTAAGGAGACTGAAATGAGGTAGACTCATCATACTCTAGAGAGCTTCATTATTTCTTAAGTCACTCTGGGAAGTAGTTCCATTGCAATAAGTTGATGGAAGTTAATGCTTTTCAGCTGGTACTTAGTTTCACAGAAGGCTAACCAAGTGTAAAGAGGACAAATTATTTTTCACCAGGTACAGACAGATTTAGCGATGGAACCAGGACTGAAACTGTTTTACACCTCTCAAGTCTGTGTGTTATCCACCACCTGCTGCTTCCCAGCTTATCTGGAACACCAGAAAAGAATATACAACTCTGCAAAAAGGGTTTAAAGCTACCAAGTTTTCTTATGTAATGCAAGAACACAGCTGGAATGTTTGTATGTTGATTGTTTAGCAACATTATCTGTGTCTGCGTAATGCAAACAGGAAAAAAAGCTGTGAACTAAAGCACCAAGTAGATGGAAAAAGGGACAGAACAGCAGCTCTACTATGCTCATGTTTACTGCCACCTGAGAACAGGGGTTCAGGAACATTACTAAGGTATCCAGCACCCTCAAAGCAGACAGACTAGCATTTCTGAATTTTTCCAGATTTTAATTTTGCGGTTTTCTGTTCAATGTTTTTGTAATGCTGAAGGTCCCTGTCCCCAAGGCAAGCTCAATCTGCACATCTGCCTCGTTCATCTTTGCCCTAAGGACACATAGACACTGCATGCATCATCCACTCCTACCTTAACTGACTCCAGTTCCATTCGCAGACGATTATTTTCTGACAGGAGGTCTCTGTTTCTGGACTCTGTTTGCTGCAGCTGAGTCTCCAGTTCAGCTTCATATTCTCGACTCCCTTCCTGGAATTCACGCAATTCCTCTTGCGTATTCTCAGCACTAGAAAGCAATTCCAGCAACAGAATTAATTATAATGAACAAAAAAAAAAATCTCTTGTACATTCAAGATAAGAAAAATACTGCCCTTTAACACAGAAGGGTCTGTGCCATTCTCCAACATACACACTCAACAGGAATATGCAAATGTTTCCCTATCAAGCATGGGAAGCCACTCCACACCAAATGGACAAACAAAAAAGCCCGAATAAACAGAAAAATCACTATCGGTGTTGAGGACATGGAGAGTCTCTTGAGCTTGTACATTGTCTGCTGCCACATGCATATTTAAACTATTAATCAATATAATTATTTATTTGGGTATATGAACAAAGCTGTTTTTTATTAGCAATAAAGTGAGAAAAAGAGAAAGATGGAAAGAAAGATGTTCTTATATTCTCAAACAATTCTATTGAAATAATCCTCCAACAAGCTAAACAAATAGCACTAAAAGGTCTAAGAAAGGACCCACCAATATCAGCTTCTAAAATGCGGAGATTTTTTTGACCCTTCATTTTATTTGGAGCAACGTACTGAACTCAAGAGCAGAGCAAAGTGCATCCATTCTCAGCCAGGAATCCTCCTTCACTACATGCTATCAAACTACTCTTGATCTACACAAATATAGTGGATAGCAGCATCTCTCTTCCTGCAATGGTCCAGATAAGGTTCTGCAGTGAGCTATATTTACTCGGGCTGCCCACAGACTGCAGTCAGAGGCACAAGTTCAGCACACACAGTCCTCCTGAAAGCAGAGCAGGGACCAAAACCAGCAGTGCTACAGCAGCAGAGACCCACTGCTCAAATAAGCAATAAAGGGCTCTGAGTCCCTCCAGCTTCTGCAGAAGAATTGCTGCTGCTGCCGCTCAAAACAGCTGAACCACCTTAAGTTTACTCCCCATGTGGGGTTACCCATGTCTCTGCATGAGGTGATACACACCCTACTGAAGGACTCAGAGCAATGAAGGCATTGCCTTACCACTGCTTGTACTTCATCGCCAGCTCTTTCCAGTATCTGGTTTCCTCTTCCACCGAACTGAAGGTATGTCCTTCCAGGTCTTCCATGACAAGTCTTCAAAGTTTAATTTTTTTTTTTACCCCTGTAAAATGAAAAGATCAAGCATAGGAACTAAGGCAATGAGCTACCTCAGTACTTTTTGCTGCAAAGCTGTGCACTCCTCCTCCCAGGAAGTCATTGCACACCTGGAGACCAACTAAAGACCAGACTTGACAGGGTTCTGCCAGAAATACAACAAATGTGAAAGAATAACTTCTGAGTAATCAGGTCCCTTTCCCCAGTTCTGCCAAGCCTCTTGCATGCTTACACAGCACCCCCAGCAGTGACCACCTTCCCCACCCTCTGACTACACAGCATAGAGCACAAAACCCCAAGCTTTAGCTGCAGCTGTGCCAGTGCACACAGAACACAAGTGGAAGAGAAGACGTCAGGCACAAATTCAGCAACTCTAGAGACTTGCCATTAAATTAAAGAGAAAGATCAAAAAGACACAGGTAAGGAATTCAAGATACTAATTTCCTGTGCTAAAATTTCAAAGAACACCTTATGGACATACCTGCTGGACACATGAAAAATTTCTCCCTAGGACAACATAGACAAAGCTAACTGACTTCAGATCTGAAATCCTTGTATGGCTGAGATCCAAAGTATATCTGGATAACTCAGAGCCATGGGAGAACTGAACTCCAGAAATTCCCATAGAAGTGGGGATAAAAGGACCAGAGAGGTTTTAGTGGGATACCACCTGGCTGGACTAGGTATGCAGATAGATTGCATCAACTCAGTGAGGAATCCAGATCATCTAGCTGTCCCTGTGCCAGCATAAACCCAGTTACAGGATATAGTCCCATATGGGAATGACACATGAAAGAGCCACAGGGGAATCAAGAACCCTAAGTTGGTTACTCTTGCTGGAAGACTTAAGTACCTAGACACCACAATTAAATAAATGCCCTGTGATGTGCATGATACACTCCAGTAAACAGGCCAAATATCATTTTATATGAGTTAGTCTTGACAATAGAGAAACATCAGACCTAATGCTTTGGATAACTTGCCCGTGCCCAGCTCTGGGTGAGGCAAAGATTTCACATAGACTTTATGAATCTAATAGAAACCCAAACAGATCAAGGATAGTAAATAAAGGTGGAGTTGAACAACACACAACAATGGCACTTGTCAGAAAACTACATTACTGGAATTTAATGACTGAGAAAATGCAGTTCTGCTAAGTTTCAGCTCCAAATCTACTGAGAAAAACATTTTCTAGAGGTAAACCTGATGGAATAAAGAGGAAAAAAAAGCCTTCAAAGACCATGCAGATATTAGTCCTGACTGCTAGTATTCTTATTTATGACACTCAGGAAAGGCTCAGGAAAGAGTAGACTTTCTGAACAGCATAGCTAAAGAAAAAGTGCACCCACTGCACATGTATTAAACTCAATGGAAAAACTATTCATAACCTGTGTTGAAACCTTCATCTCCAGAAAATCATCTGGTTTAAATAGATTAACAGCCACCTATCTAGTAACTCTAAGACAAACACAAGTAGTTCTTACCTCTACTACACAGTCAACAAGTACTCAAAGTAGTCTGGTGATCTAAAGCCCAATTTTTACCCATCCAAGTAGTATTATAAAGTCCTTTTCACAGCCAAGGGGATTTTCAGGAGATAAGTGAGAAGAGTAAGCAGCTCTCACAGCCAAGTAAGCTGTGCCCACACATCTCAGTGCACAGTATCAGCTACACACCCACAGAAATCACACAACTATTTAGAAGGGGAGCTGGTAGCTGAGGGGAAAAGTTCCTAAGCCTGAGGTTTTATAATTTAGTTTCTTAACATGAACTATGCACTGGGGAAAAAAAAGGAAAAGGAGTGTAAGAAGGAGTGATTTTCCAAATAATACCCTTAGCCCATTAAAAATAAAATCACAACTAAGCATAATTAACATTCTTGACCTACGATGGTTTACAACACATCAACTCTATTATTTTTTAAGCAACCTGAAAGTGCCTTTGATGTTAATGAACATGTCCATCTGCTCAAGGCACTGTGTGTACACACACCAATCCTTGCAACACTCATGAAGAAAACAAAATTGTCTTTTACAGATGAGGGACAGGGCGGGATGGTCAGACACAAAGCAGTGATGCAGGTGCAATGAGAAACGAAGAAGGACCAGCATCCATTACTGTGGTCAAATCAAGCCAAAATGTCTTTCCAATTGTTACTTCTTACCACTCAGAAAACAAGAGGTTTCCGGATTTCTTCAAGAATAGAGATTGCACCCAGGGTATGCCTGGTTTTGCTACAGAAATTAAATATATATTCCAGAAGTCTCCAAAGAGGAATTCTGACACAAGTGCTATAATAAATCCTGTAACTATGTTCTGACAGTCAATAAAAAAATAGACAAGATAAGGTGGACTACAAGACATCTTGCTCCTGAAAACTTTCAAACAACCCTTTGGAAGCAAAAGGCAGCTCTCATTGGCCTGAAAAGATTGAATATGCTCATATCTGGCTCTCAATTTTGTTTTTACACTGCATTTTGGAAGGACTATAAGAATGTACTAATTTGCATTTTTTAAGGTCCTTTGACCACATACGAAATAAATTTCCATAACCAAGCCATTTATAAGAGTTCCACAGAACCTTGGTAACTTTCACAGAAGCACAAAGACAGTCCCCAAAGTATGTCTCTGTAAACACAAGATTACAGACCCACTAAGGATGCTGTCCGTTAAGAGAACGCTCACTTTCATGGTTACCATCACAAATAGTGCTTATAATTTAAAATTAAAGGTTAAACTGAAAATACATGGAAGAACTGTGGACCTATACTTACTCCACAGAGATGACACAACATGGCACTTCCCAAGCCACAGGCACATGTTTTCTGTCCACAACACAAGAGTAAGACCTGTTGGGTTCCCTGTACACCTACACTACATTTTTAGCTCCCAGAGATTCTCAAACTAACCAAAGATGCTAGACACAAACTGAAATGAAAAATTCCAGGTTTTAGACAAAGTATTAAAGCTTTTTTTATTTTCTGAAATTGTTTTTTTTAAACAACAAAAAAAGCATTCTAAACCACCTGTACAAAGGATAGGGCTTTGACTTTTTGTTTTTTCCCCCCTTCATTTGTAACAGCTTGGAGACAGGATGCAAAATGCCCGGAAAGTAATTAAACCAATTAGGAATTCCTCATTACCTAGGATCACTACAAAAGGGGAGGGCAAGGGGGGGTGGTGGTGAAGGAGGTTTTAGCAAAGTTATGTTACACACTAGCAAATGTGGAAAAAAACAAGGAATGAAAGTCACAGTCTACAGCAAGCACACACTGGCTGCACCCGATTTGTTTTCACACTCCTGAAGCCAGAAGAGACATCTGGCCAGACTTCCTGCGTGCAAGCAGCACTAGTGCTGGTCACAGGCATTACTAAACCTCTACATCATCCAGGAAGTGGATGCATTCATGGGTGGAGAATGGACTTCTGCAAGGAGAAAAATACCTCAGCATAAATGTCGCAGGAAACAATTTCATACACGTAAAAGCAGAATTGCAAAATTCTTAAGGAAAAAATAATAAAAGCCACACCCAAAACGACTAAAGGAACTTCAATTTGAGAACCAGAGTCCAGGTTCCCCAAATTAATGAGGTCCACAATTTAGATTCACTCAAGTTAGTTTCATTCCTAGAATAAAGGACTCAAACCTGCACACCATTTTTATAAAAAAAAATAAATTAACATTTTAGCTTGGTGAACAATGTTGCACTGTCTTTGTATCAATGACTGATGGTGTCAGTCAGAGAAATCCATAGCATAATAAAAAGTAAACCAGTATTACTGAATTATCCACGGCAGAGATGATGAAGCTCTTATTAGACATCTGTTCCTAACTGTACCCAAAACAAAACCCTTCTTTGCTCCTGAAAAGTAGCTTTCCCCTCCTGTGAAAATTACTCTTAAAATCGTGCCTTTTCAAGAGTCTCCCTGTAACATAAGGGCCTAATTTCTCTTGTTTAAGCACTACAAAAGGAAATCACCACAAAAGAAAAAGACAAGGAAGGGGTCACCAGAGTGCCAGGGTGACTACAGAACCCCACAGCCAGCAATGAGAAGTCACCACCTCCTCGGAGCCTTCTCTACCAAAAGGCTTAAAACAGCAAAGCCCTCCTCTTTTCTCGTACCAGTCCAGCTCAAATACTTCCGAGTTTCCAGAGACTCCCTAAGGAAACTCGGCCAAGTTTTCTCTCCCGAAATGCCTGACCTTGATGCTTCCAGCTGCAAGCCACGAGGCCAGCCAGGCAGCGCCCGGAGCCTTCCCAATCATAGCATAATAAAAAGTAAACCAGTATTACTGAATTATCCACGGCAGAGATGATGAAGCTCTTATTAGACATCTGTTCCTAACTGTACCCAAAACAAAACCCTTCTTTGCTCCTGAAAAGCAGCTTTCCCCTCCTGTGAAAATTACTTTTAAAATCGTGCCTTTTCAAGAGTCTCCCTGTAACATAAGGGCCTAATTTCTCTTGTTTAAGCACTACAAAAGGAAATCACCACAAAAGAAAAAGACAAGGAAGGGGTCACCAGAGTGCCAGGGTGACTACAGAACCCCACAGCCAGCAATGAGAAGTCACCACCTCCTCGGAGCCTTCTCTACCAAAAGGCTTAAAACAGCAAAGCCCTCCTCTTTTCTCGTACCAGTCCAGCTCAAATACTTCCGAGTTTCCAGAGACTCCCTAAGGAAACTCGGCCAAGTTTTCTCTCCCGAAATGCCTGACCTTGATGCTTCCAGCTGCAAGCCACGAGGCCAGCCAGGCAGCGCCCGGAGCCTTCCCAGTCCCATTCCCATTCGGAGCACGAAGCCAGGAGAGAACTAAGCCAGCCAGCACAGTTCCCACGCCCCCCTCCCCACCAGCAACCACGAGAGGAATTCCGAAAGCACAAGGACACTCCGGTTCGCAAGGAAGGATGCGGGAAGTTACGAGGGGAGCACAGACAGGCAGGGTCCCAGCTCCAGCTCCCTTTGCCTCCCCGACCCTGCCCTAGTTACCACCGCAGGGCGAGAAG